TCGATCGGTTTACTTTGGACTGCACAGTCCACTAGGTTTTTCCCATACAAACAGTTGACGTATTTTATCAACTGGGGTTTCCTCGCTAAAAATCCTAGTGTCATCTCTACCTTTATACTTTGCTTTATTTTATCTGCATGTGATTAATTGTTTAATTGTTAAAATAAGTAAAGTTGGAAAAGACATAGATCTGTTTTAAAATTATTAAAACTTTTTAAACAATCCGCTGCGTACGACTCATAAAGTAGACTATGTACCAGAATTCTTTATCGATTGTGATATCTAATAATCGGCAAAAAAATCATTAGCTAAAAGAATTGTTTTAGTTCGCTGTCCTCAGCCCAATTTAAAGAAAAGAAAAAAAGACTAGCCGATGTTAATTTCAAAAGGTTACTTAGAGCTCAGTTGAGATAATCGGCTGAGGAAAAATCGACTGAAAAAAAATCGGCTGAGACAAAATCTGCTGAAAGACCAGCGGCTGTCGGGGGGCATATGATCGCCAAGCCCTAGCAAAAGTTAGTTGATTCATACCCTCCACTTCAGCCTGCCGATTATAGTGAGGTCATGTTTGCCGATCAATGGACTATTGGGTATGATGTAGTCTTGCCGATTGAGTTGAATGTAAAATTGGCTGAAAGGAAATCAGCTAAGAAAACTCCTTATTGGCGCAATTTCATTCATCTAGTACAACTAATAGGCAGGTCGGCTAGAATGACGCTTCACAATAATTTAATTTATGCCGATCATGATCATGATTTGCTAGTGGAGTTAGAAAATGCATGGGGGGCAAGTCCTTTATTGGTTTATGGGCTGGCAATATCGGTAAACTTTTTGAGAATCTAGGAAGAAGCTTAAATTGGCAAATTTGGCTAATATGAAATAAAGATCATCTTAGGGGTGATTCAGAAGAAATAAAGTTTTGGAGCTCGTTGATTTGCAATCTTATTCCAAGTGACTAGCGCAACCCTTGTTCAAAATTTCTTTCCAATGTACTTTAAATTTCAAATATCTTATCGGCTTGGGCGGCTAATAGTCGATAAGACATTTAAAATTGGGGGGCATTGTTGACACCCTTTTTGGTAAAATTGCATGGGTAGTGACGTGGCAATGTTTGAACTACAGGTGGATGGTATTTTTCACGTGGATTAGAGTTGGAATTTCATGTAAGAATGATAAAGATTGGAGAAGCCTTTGAATTAGCTAATGGATAGGGATCAAGTGCTAGTATTTATCTTTTAGCTAGTATTTATCTTTTAGTTGGTTTTAGTTAAATACTAGTGGTTATCCATAGATTAGTTTAATTAAAATTTATAGTTAGTTGGGTTATAGAGTTGTAATGTAAGTGAAATACGTATGTGTAGGAGTTGGTTTACGTATTTTTCTATAAATAATTTTAGAGGCATGCTAAGAAAGAAGTCCAACACCCTCAGAATCTTTTATTATTATTGTTGTTTTTTTAAGCTCATTCTCCATATAACATCCTTGCTATTTCTATCTCTCTTCCTCTGTATTTCAGTCTCGTTCTATCTCTCTCTATCTCTTCTCCCTATCACCTTCTATAACTATATTTTCTCCCCTTTCTATTCTCAAATTGTTACTATATTTATTCATTGATAAAAGTCCTTTTAATTAAGGCAATCCTGAACTCACAGAGGAGTATATTTGTTCTCTTTCTCTTCGCATCGCCTGAAATTCAGAATTCTCAAAGAAACTATTGTTGACTAAACACACTCGAACCATATAATTGGTTCTGGCATGCCCACAACAGATCAATTTAGAATTGGCTAGCCAGCCGATTTTAGCATCAACAGTTTCTTGGTGGAATGGTGGAAAGGTTTTTGATCGTTGCAAGCATGTGTGGGTTTAGGGGGATGAAAAGAGGGTGGACATGATGAGGGAATGGTAAGAGAAGGGTGGATGAGAGGAGGAGGAAGAAGTGTTGGGTTAAGTCCGCCCCATGTGGGTGTTGACCAAATGGACTAGTGGGCCCAAGCCCACATGTTATATCATTTAGTAACTTAACCAAACTTTTATTGTTCCAAGTATGGCAAAAGCCAGAGAAATTGAGGTCATCAAACTCAACATCAAAGAGGCAGTAACTGAACTTAGTCATAGAAGGATTGTTTGCATTACACCCCACCCCCCCCCCCCCCCCCCCCCCCCCCCCCCAAAACTTTCAGAAGGTGACCTGATTGCATTAAAATCACTAGCAATAATCCATGGAAATAGTGAGTTAGAGGAGGAAAAGTTAACCATGCTTTCCCAAAGGGGGTGTCTGTCATTCAAAATGTTAGCTGCATAAACAACAAACAACAAAAAGTGAGTGTTCGAATTCAAAAGGTAGGTAGAGCAGTGCATGAACTGCCAATGATCCTCAAGAATAATGAGGTTTACATTTATGGGATTCCACAAAATCCATATCAATCTGCCTAAGATGGTATGTCTATAATTATAGGTTGTTGTACAGTATTGTATGAGTTGTCACGTTGTACAATATTGTATGAGTTGTCACACATGTGCAGTATTGTATGAGTTGTCACCTTCCCCTCATTGCCATATATTGAATTACTATGTATAGGGTTTACTTGTTCTCCACTCACCTACTCCTGTAACTTCTCATATATAAACACCATTGTATTATTGTATTACTCACTTAATAAGATATACGTTTTCATATATTCTGTTTCTCTCTCTCTCTTTCAACACAGGTAATAGACCAGTTGCCTGCAATTTATTGGTGAATGGTATTCATGTTTGAGGGATTGACCTTTGTTTCCAAGATTGCTATGATATCAAGGTTATGCTCTGCAATCAAATTCTCGACTTCCATTTGTTTAGGGGTTTGGTTTAATCCCCTAATATTCCACACTGCCATGACAGTCATGGCCAGTATGGTTTGAATTGCCCTTTTGAGGCTAGAAAGCCTCTTTAATGGTGTGGAACCACCCTTGTGATAAGGTTTGAGCTTCGATGAGCTCGTTGTTGATTTCTTCTTTTTGGACTTCTTTCCTTCAATGATTAAAGAGAAACCTTCCTCAAGTGAACCAGAGGAGCTGGAGTCTGTGATGTCATTAAGTAGTTGATAAGGAAGGATGTTGTAAGGTGTGGAACTTGTTGTGTGATAATGGGATGTGCAGTTAGGATGAGCACTAAAGGGAGAGATGTCCACCACAAGCTTTCCCTTGCCATTGTCTGAGAAAGTATGGGTTACCTTAGTGCTTGAGAAGGATGGGGTTATACACTTTGTAGGAGAGGAAAAAGGTATTTGCATGGACCTTTGCTTCTAAGGTGGAGAGGATGTGGTTGTGATAATGTGGGAAGGACTTGGAGAGGTTTTGTCAGGTTGTAAAAGTGGAACAGAAATGTGACTCATGGGTGGGGAATTGGGGTAAACATTGACGACTGGGTTGTTAGGGACTTAAGTTCTCTTCTTGACAACTCTCCGTTCTTTTGTAGGTTGTGTGAGAGCAGTAAATGGGGGTTGATCAGTGTTCACATCACCATTAATATGAAGAGTATTATGTGGAATCTTATTTGACTGATGATCCGACCTTACAACATTCTTCTTCTTGGTAGACTGAGGGAATTTCCGGCCAGTTGTGCTCGATCAACCCTTGTTTGCATAATCACCATTACTCAATTCGAGCTTGATTGACTCTAATAAGGTTGCATCAGAAGCCATTTCAATGCATTTTCTGGCATATGCAAGTCTCTTCCTACCTTCAGTGGCTGCATCAGCAAAAAGGGGCATAGTGGGTGGTGGAAAACTGTTAGGAGGAGGACCATCTGGGGTTGGGGGTATAGATGGGTGTGGCATAGCCACCTTAGGCCCTGGAATTTTCTACTCTTTGCATTTTTTATGGTAGTACATAAAGTTTAATAATCATGAAATTGCTCCCACTGTAAATTTTCAGAATTCTCACAAAAAAACTCTTGAGAAAATGTCTAAAATTTAGAAGACCCCTCATTTTTTTAACTCATTTGCCTAATAAAATGTTAAAAATTCAAAAAAAGACCCATAATTTTTCTCGTACAGTTGATTCCAAAAAAATTATAAAAATCAAAATTAAAAAAGACCCCTCATTTGTTATTTATTATTTTGATTTATTTTTATTATTATATTATTGTTTATAGTTGCTAATTTTCTGGCTCCGCCACTGGGTGGTAGACCAGTGTATGAAGAGGGGCTACAACATGGGAGTGAGGATGATGTCTGTGTGGAGAGGACGGAGAGGCAGATCAAGAGGAATGTGGTTCAAGGGTGGCCAGTGGCAGATCTTTGTGTGGAAGGAATGGTGGTTTCAGGTGGTTTGGTTTCTGGGAAGAAGGTGGTGGTCTCGTGGTTTTTTTGAGGCTGGATAGTTATACTTTTGTTTTCTTTGTACTGGAAGTGGTATTTGTTTATTTTTTCAGTTCTGTTTGGAGTGGGAGGGTATGCCCTCAATGTGATCATCCTGCACTGATTGGTTTTATAATTTGGTGATCTTATAAAGTACTCTGTTATGAAAAAAAGAGAGGAAAGATATGAGAGGAGAAAATAATGATAAGAATATCGTGATAATATATAAGTCATTTCTGCCCTTGTAGTTGTTTGTTTAAGGAAGGGTAATTGTTGGATTTTTTTCTTTTCATGCTATTATGCTAATAATTAACTTGTTGATTCTAGCTTTTGACTTATTTTCATTATCATACAAGTGAGTAGCTTTTGCTCATTTTTGTGTGTGCATAATATGTTATTGTTACAGCGACTTTTTTGGTGTTTCTTACTTCCTTTTATATGCCTCTTATTTTATTAGCCCATATTAATTTTAGGAATTGATGGATTGCGGTTTCTTGCTAATGGTGTTTCCATGATTCCCTCCCAGTGGATGGATATGTACTTTGATGCGCTGATATATAATTTGCATGGGTTGTTTTCAAAACTTTCAAGCTTTTCGTCGTAAGGGAGTACTGATGACTTTTTTTGTTTGTTTGTGTCTGATTTTGTTTTATGCTTCTAGTGAGGGATTTCATGGCAAAGTCCATTGACGGCTTGGGCAGTTCCCCCCGGTCTGACCCCACCCACTATACAGGTAGTTTTTTTTTTTTTTTTTCTATTATATATATATATATATATATATATAATTTTTTTTTATACAATGTACGTACCCTAAAATTATTAATTTTTAAAATTATCTCTTAATTTTTTTTACTTGTTTACCCTTTAAATTCTTTTTTTAAAAAAGTTAAATTTTCTTCGTTAAATTAAATTCTAATATTTTTTCCTTTTTAACTTGCCATATATATATATATTTTTTTGTCTTTTTTCCCTTCTAGTTGTTTAAATATATATATATATATATTTCTTTAACACTTCGCCCCCTTAAGCTAAAATCCTTACTCTGCCCCCTGCAGTAAACATTGAAGGGATCACTCTCAATGACCACAATGACCACATGGTGGCCAAAGTAGAAGGCGGCTTCACACTGTGTGATAAGTGTAATCTCAAAGTGGCCGAAGGCGGCTTCACACCGTGTGATAATTGTGAAACAGATATGGCAGAAAGCGAAAAAAGGAACGCTAAGGCAAACAATCCATCGGGGCTAGTTAAATTCCATGAGATCCTGAGAAGGAGTGTGTACATTGAGGTTGAGAACACATCGGCTGACAATGCAATGACTTTCTCTGACAAGGATCTGCCCCCCAAAGGAACCGTCCATCCTCCTAAGCTCTATATATCAGTGGATGTCGGTGAAAAACTGATAAGTAGGGTTCTTATCGACAGTGGGTCTGACTTTAATATTTGCCCATTGGATATTGTTCGAAAGTTAGGAATGGAGGAACGCATTGACAAAATTAATATCATGGTGGCGAGGGGCTTTGACGGAACTGAACGCGAGAACATTGGCCAAATTGAACTCCTTATGAGAGTAGGACCCACTACCTTTCGCATCAAGTTCCATGTATTTGACATTCCTTGTACATCATACAATCTCATCCTAGGAGCGGCTTGGATCAATGATGCTAAGGTACTCCACTCAAGTGTTCATCAAAGCCTCAAGTTTGTTTTTAACAACAAAACGATCACTGTCCATGCCGAAAAAGACTTTGCAGTCAGCTCTGACACTGCCGGTGAGCCCTCATCTAAACGAAGACTCGGAATAAAAATGGTTTCACATATGCCTGAAAGAAGCCAACCTCCTCAACTAAGGTTCTCCAACAAAACAATTGATGAATCTTTGGACACTATCATTTGTGATGGACCTATAAGCGTGTTCGAGTTTGAGAAGTATGCTGCTGAAACAGAGGTATGGAATTATTATTATTATTATTATTATTTCATTGTCACGAAACTAAACACCCATTTTTCACTACTATGACTTGAATTATCATCTCTCACTTTAAGAAGTTGATAAGATACCATTAGGCGCCTTTTAAGCTTTTGACATTATGGTATCATACTCCTTTTTACGCAGATTATTTGTATTTCAGACCCCAGTTCATCTCTAATCCAGCCTTAACCCGAATAATAATAATAATAATAATATTATGGATCATATTACTCTATCAGGAATTTAATTGGGGTTATTTATAACTTACAGGAAGAAGTAAATGAGTTGGCAGACCTCGACCTCAGTGATGAAGGGCTGACCACAATCATTGGAGTTGAGGAGGTTGGTCTTGCAGCCTAGATGAGCCACCACGGTGGTGCCAGCTTGGAGCTTCTTCATAGCAAACCACTCTCCAAGTTAATGATCGACCTTTCGATACAACTATACAAGTTGTATGAGTGTATTTTAATCAGAGTACGTAACAACTATGGACTGTGTTTAATTACGCATTGAGTGAGTGTCAGTCTCACTTCCAATAATAATAAGTTTGACAAATAATTTGCAAGTGCAAGTGGATTTTTAATTGCCCATTTAAGACCGCCATTTGAGTATTAATTGTACCAAAATTGACTTTTTTTTGACACTTACACAACTAAATTCTATGAAGACTAATTAAAAATCTAGCTTCATCAAATCCAGACTCGAATTTTCTACTGTAGTTTTAATTTTTGTAAAGCAGTTTCATAGGTATGGGTACGCTTGTCTGTTTGTTAATCGCTAGAAACTGGACATCGGGGAATGTGAAAAGATGGAAGCAATTATCCATAGATTGAATAAATAGAAGTCTCGCCACTATATATATATGTAGTACCTTTGAGTGATGAAGGGCTGACCACAATCATTGGAGTTGAGGAGGTTGGTCTTGCAGCCTAGATGAGCCACCACGGTGGTGCCAGCTTGGAGCTTCTTCATTGCAAACCACTCTCCAAGTTAATGATCGACCTTTCGATACAACTATACAAGTTGTATGAGTGTATTTTAATCAGAGTACGTAACAACTATGGACTGTGTTTAATTACGCATTGAGAGCCATTGCAGGCTAATTAAAAATTATTGGTCTGACAAATGTTCAGCTTTTCTATAGAGATACACATTTCACATCATCCTTTCATGTTAACGCAGTGAGCTCCGGCCACTCAATTAGGGTAGGTCCTGAACCCAGATTGAAAATTAGTTGTTTCTCTCTCTACCTGTGATGGGTTGCTTGTCTGGGTTTAGGGTACCCTAGTGGTTTGGCCAAACAGTCCCTACGATTGATGGCCATGAAAAGTTGAAACCTAGTCAATCCTAGACGACAACTGTAGATCCAATCAGAGTAACGAGCTGGGATCCTACCGACGATACTATCTCACAAAGACCATTTTAATCAGGCAAAACCGTGTTATGCATCTCTTTAGAGTAATGCTATATTGTTCAATCGATTTTTTTATGTGACTATAATACGTAAAATTCAATGGCTTTTAATTCATAATAAATAAGATACCCTCTCTCCTCTTTATTATGTGTCTCTATTTAAAAAAAGAAAAAGAAAAAGAAAAAGAAAAAAAAAAAAAGAAATAATAATCTCAAAATTAATGGTTGTTATTGATAGACTAGTTTATATTTTTTAGATGTCTCAATAACTTAGTGGATTAGTGCCTCCGGTGAACTTTGGAGTATCAGGGATTCGACTAACACGTGTGAAAGCAACATTACATATGAAAAATAATATAATACATTAGGCTTGACTAATAAGCATAAATTTTTGCTAAGTGCCTGAGATGGAACTGGTTACTCTTTAATGCAATTTATTGGCTGAAATTTATGCTATTAGCAATCATTCATTGATGATCTTTAATAATTTTATTTCCTAAAATCTATGCTAGTTTCTGAAGTAAAAAAAAAAAACACATTTTTATGAATAAAACATAAGTATAATTTACCAAAAATGTTTTATGCATTCTATCATGTCTTAATAAATCAAAAGATATAATCTTCAAACCACCCTAGCATGTATATATTATCAACCCTTAATTGGTGAGTGCACAATATTGAGGGTTCAATTTACCTTTATGCCCTTGCTGAAGCTTTTTAAAAAACATTGCCAAGAAGGCATAAGCATTATAGTTCACAAATACAAATTCACGTTGGAAGACCTACATTTTTATTCTCTATTGATAACACAGAATAGTAAATACAAGCTTTTGATTAGAGCTGTAACTAAACAGAGTTGTTCGGAAAAAAAAAATTGATTTAACGGTTTAAAAGCTCGATTCGTGTTTGTTCACTCTTTAAATGACCAGTTTTGAGCTGATTTTTCAGACTCCCATCTATAAAGGAGCTGAGCCGCAACATTAATCTGGCACAGCTCATAGCTCCGTATGGGCTCATGAACAAAACCATAAAATCTCAGGCCCATTCTCACACTTTTGTTCAAACCCAAGTGAATTACTGTGTTGAATAGTCAGTTAATTTACTTCGGCAGAGAGTCCATTGGGCTCCACGCACGTCTCAGCCCATCACACAAAAGTGTGAACAACCTCGTCTACTGTCACTCTCCCAGACTGCATCATTGCCAAGTGTGGGTTCCTCGGCTCCAGTCCGCAAGTTCAAGATTACAGTCCAACCACTTCGTCTCTGTGTTACTTTTTTAGTTGATTTATTTTTTATATTGACAGGAAATTCATTTTACTAGTGCACTTTGTACACAACGTTATTAGAATACTTACTCAATTATCAATTGATATAGCAATCAGCCAGATGATTGACCAGTAAATAATAATAAAGAAAAACCAAATATATATTTACACGATATAAAATACACTTATTGAATGCACTTTGCACACCATGTTATTGATATACCCATCTAATAATCAATTAATATAGCAATAGGTCAGTATTTTAATAGATGATCCACCAATAAATAATAATAAAAAAACCTAATATATATATATATATATTTATTTATTTATTTACACGGGTAAGAAATACACTTTATTAGATGCACTTTGCACACCATGTTATTAATATGCTCACCCAATAACCGATCGATATCTGTCGTCCGAGGTACTTTTTTGTTATTCAGGAATCCCCTTTTCTTTTCGTGCTATGTTCGACGATAACAATGAAGAAATGTAAAAATGACTGTCCAAAATGTATTTAATAAATTGTTCCAGTAAAGTTTGTACTGAATTTTAGTATCATTTTGTTCACTAGGTACGTGGAAAGTTTATTTCTAGGTTATGTTATGTTTAGTAGCTCCGAATAAATATCTAGGATTTGAAATTTGAAGAAAATTTAGTCAAAAATTTGTACTAAATTCTCTAGAATCCCAAATCCAAAACGCATAGTTTAAGTGTCATTTTGTTCAAAGTGTGCTCACTATTCTCGGGTGAGTCGGTGTGGCCATGAGGATGCGTGTCTGTGCTATGTTTCTGATATATAATTTGCATGGGTTGTTTTCAACTTTTCATGCCTTTCAATTGATTATGGTAATGGACCATTTTGTTTGTTTATCTCTGATTTTGTTTTTTGGTGTGGAGTCAAATCCCATCACCTCCTGTCAGATCAGTTTTTAGTCCACCTTTAAAAAGTTATGATCAAAATTTCAAAATGCTATCATCACTCTGGGATGATAGGGCACTCCACTAAAAGCGCTTTTTACCTGAAGCACAAAATTCAAAGCCCATTGCAAATGGCCGGACTGAAATGGCGCGGAAGTTCGATCAAGATAATATGTTATGGAGGGCGCGAGTATGGCCGGTTCCTTCAGGGAGGAGTTCATTGTCGGAGAAAGTGATTGTGTGGTCAGCCTTATTTGTGGACCACAATCTCTTACACTTGTGACATTATCAGGGTCGTGAGTCTCGTTCAGTACTTTCAAAAAGGACTCGAGGTGTGTCTCTTGACATTCTTTGGATAACCGTGTTCGAGTTTGATTAGTTTGCAGCTCGAACAGAGGTATGGAATGCGATATCCTGCATTGGTGACGATATGTTCATGTTAAAGGTTTTTGCCATTATGGTATCATGCTAGCTCCTCTTTATGCAGATTATTTATAGTTCAATCTCCTGTTCAACTCTTATTTATAACGTACTAACAGGCAATAGCAAAGAAAATTGGCGGACCCAAGTGGCGAAGGGGTGACAACAACCATTGAGGAGATGACTCCTTTGGAGCTGTTGAGAAGGTTAGGCTTGCAGGCAAGATGAGCCACATCTGGACTGGCGGCGGTGCCAGCTTGGAGCTTCTTTAGGGCAAAGCAAACCACTCCCCCGGAGTTCTTGTTATGAAAATAAGGATCCAATAGGAATTTACGAGAACAAGAGAAAAAATAAATGACAAAAAAATAAAATAGCGTACACACAAACGAGACAAGGATTTAAGTGATTCGACTGTACCTACGTTCACGGAGAGAAGACATAATAATATTTTAATATGAAAATAAAGAGATGCAAGGCTAAGTGGCTCACACCCAAAACCCAATTACACCCAAAACTCTCACACACTTTGCTTTGCTTTTATGAACAAATTCACACTCAATTTTTGGATACCAAAACCATGAGAAGGCCAAACTATTTATAGCCTAAATGGGTCATCAAATACTTGTTGATCAAGTACGAGGATGACATTTGCCAACTTGCTGCCCACGCATGGAAGCTTGCCGGGCACACATTCTTGGAGGCCAAGAATATTGATGACGTCATGGGTGATGATTGAGCCACAAAAAATCAACAGTTCTTGCTCTTGATGATCCTTGATCTAAGTTTTGTCCCTCTATTTGCTTTTACTAACTATGTTACTTGAGTTTTAAATTGGTGTATGCTCATGGAATACATTTGGGCTTGGTAGAATGTAACTAAGACCCATTTATTATACATGACGAAAATTGTAACCGATCTTCATCTGCTTTGTAAGTAAATAACGAAAAGAAATAGAAAAAAAAGAAGTTAATGACGAAAAGATTACTTTTTGTTTATAAGTGTTGCTAATTAGGCCTTTTGGCCTTTATCTCTCTGTCATTAACTACAAAACCACAAAAATAACACTTCCATCTCATTTAGCGGTGCCTTTGAAATAAGGCTTAAGTGAGCGCAAATCAGTCAAGAGTCTACTAGTCAGCCGTAGCAAACACGAATATTTGTTTGGCTCTCAATAATTTGGCTCAGCCAACTTGGAGTTTGACAGGGGTGGCATGCCCACACGCGTGAAATATCAAATATACCCTTATATAATTGTCGTCTTAATTTGGACTACTTTGATCCGAACATATTCTTGCCTTAATTTTAGATATTTTATTTGGGTTTACCCGATAAAATAAGAAGGGTCTCGTCTCACAGATCATCCTTGATTTCGAATAAGTGTGATCTAACATCATTCCGACGCCTCAACAATTTGATTCTTATAATAGTCAATAAGGAAAAATAACATTCATTGCAAAGCTTCGTGAAGACATACAAAAAAGAGGGTAAAAATTTGGAAGCCTGGGAAAAAAGAAACCAAAAAATAATAATAATAATAATAATAATAATTATAATTTTATTTAGAAACTGAGAATTGGAACAATAAATTCACATATATAGTATGGGTGCTGTATCCACCTCCTGGAAATGGTGTCATCATCACTCTCTTACTGAACCTAAAGACACCCAAAAACTACTACTAGAAGGAGAATCAAACTTATTCATCCATATTAACTATACTTTTGGAAATTATGTAGTAACAAGTTCTCAAGAGGAACTGGATTTGTTCTTGATCTTGTATCGGTATATAGCGCGTTTCTTCTTGTTGAATGATCCATTCTCAACTGTGAGCACAATCTTTCCCGGTTCACTAGTGCTTGTGAAAGAGTTGCGAACCGATCCTTCCTGTGAACTCATCTTCTTCCCCTTCTTCACTATCAAGGTATAAGAACCCTCATTTGCTGGCACAAATTCCTCCCTGTAGTTAACTTCCCAACCTAACACAGTCAGGTCCCACATCAAAGTTGTCCCAACCTGTGTTTCCAAACACGAAAGAATCACATTAATTTGAGATCAATTCAAACCTATAATAACGGACAAGGATCCTCTAAGTCGAATCTCTCTACATTATATTAAGTTGTATCGTTAAAAAATTGATATCTGACATTGTTTAAAGATTCATTACTTACAATTCATCACATCAGTGGAGATCCATTCAAACATTGTTTCCTAAACTATGCCATTTCAAGCATTTCATTTAAAATTTCAACTTACGATAATGTAGATAACGGTGAACTTAGAAACATACTTAACACAAAGAAATGAAATCTATAACTTTTAGTGTCATATAAGTATTCATTTACCTCTGGTAAATCTATCTCAATAGATTCACTTAATCCAGGCTTAACAATGATCTCGAAAGCACCATCTTTAGTAGAGAACTCATCATCGTTATCCCGCTTTAACCCACCATAGTGAACTGGGATCTCTGCTGCAGGAATGTACCTGCAGTGAAAGCATTTAGACTTCGTTACAATGGCAATTACTCACCCCACAACACACACAATGAGAAAGTTTTCTTACTTGAGAAGGGTGTCTGCGACCTTTGAAGGGCGAGCAAAGACAAATTTGCTCTTTGTTCTTTGGGTTAAGAAAGGCGATAGGAGAGCAATGAAGGCATAATACCAGAAAGGTACATTGATGAAGATCTACAATAAACAAAAACACACACACACACACACAATGACCCCATTAGATGTCACACTTGTATGAAAAATTACAAGTTATTAGGACTTTGGAAACTCAAATGAATTGATGTCAAATTTAGATGCTACATATAAAAAATGCCCCACCAAGTCATAAAGTGAATCAAATAATGAAATCTTGGAAAAATTGAAGGATTGAAGAGAAGAAGTGCAAAGATGATCTTCCAAATTCTTCATAGTTAAAGCATTAGGAAAAATTCAAGAAACATAAAATGAAATGGGCAAGGAAAATGCTTACATTCCTTGCCACAAATTCAGGATAATTGTCCTGGAGAAGTCCGACTGCTCGTCTAGTGACATGCCGAAGCTCCTTCCTTCCTGGTCCCGGGGTGTTCTTGAGATCATTGATTTGGAGGAATGAGGATACACCACCAGGCTTGAAATCGAGCTCCCGAATCCCCTTCTCCATCAGCTGAACTCTCCACCTCAGAAACTTCTCCTGGTTCTCTTCACTCCCAAGTGTCCTATTGTAAAATTCATAATCCCCAAATACCCCATAAATGTTATAGCAAATAGGATGGCCTTCGCGGTCCACGCCACTCGTGTAGGCTGTGGAGCCAAATTCAGCCCCCAAATCTTCATCCAATAGAGAATCCATCTTGAAATCCTTCCTCCATTGAAGGGTATCCCTCAACATCTCAAAAGCCTCATCAACATCAAAATCTCTAGCCCTCAAAAACTTCAGGAGTAAGACATTGGTGTCCTCATCTCCCTTGCTAGGCAATAATCTCACCCCCCAAAGGCTGATATCCTCGTCTATTTGAATCACTTTCTCCTCAACAATCACATCTTCATCGGTTTTCTGCTTCTCTTCGCCTTCGGTTTCCACTTCATTGGCGGGCTTTTCATCTTCTTTCCCTTCTTTTACCTCCATTTCTTCTTCTTTCCCTTCTTTTACCTCCATTTCTTCTTCTTGTTTGGCTTCATTTGTAGCCAAATTTTTATTCTCCTCGCCTTCTTCTGCTTGTTGTTCTTTATCTTCACTTTCCTCCCCTCTCTCATTCTTCTCTACCTCTTTTTCTGATGAATTAGTCTTTTCAGGCTCTTCAACTTTGACCTTCCTCTCCTTGAAGAGCTTGTTCCCTAAGATTGCTGTTTCGAGCATCTTCTTCAGCTCCATCAACGCCTTTTTCTCGTACCCTCTCAGATCAGAGACAAAATCGCTCTCTTCCTTGAATGTGTCACTCCTTTCAGTCAGGGAAGGCGACGAAGCCTCGCCTGATTCGCCTTCAATTTTCTTCTCCTCTACTATCTCGTCTGTCTTGGGCTCGTCTTCTTTCTTCAATTCGTCACTCTTTTCTGCAACTTCCGCGTCCTCCACAGCAACGCCTTCGTCTTTGGCTTCCTTAGATGGATCTTGTTCTTGAGAAGCCCCGACTTCGGCCATCTGGGTTGATTCTGATGTCTCATCCACAGCCATGGTTGAAGTTTCTCAGACAAATCGAGTAATTTTCTGTTGTTGAAGTTGGAGAGAAATAATAGAGAAAAAAGAGAGTCTCTGACTTAAGATGAACAGTGAGAAAGAAAGAGGGCGAGAACACATAATCCACAAGTTTCCCCTGTTTTCTCTCCTCTGTTTTCTCTCCTACATCAGTTTTGTGGGAAGAGAGAGAGAGGGGGGTTTCTATAACGGTCATACAGGAGTACCACTTGGAAAGCGGTAAAAACTACCAGCAACTTGGAAATGACGGTTTAGCCCAAAGACTCTACGCCTTTTATTTATTATTATTTTTTCTCTTCAATATGTTTAAAGTGTTCATTGTTAAGTGTTAACCATTTAATTTTTATATTATTAAACTTTTTTATTATTTTCTGTATTTGAAAAAATTGTAGGACAGTGATATTAGGACCTCTTATTACAGAGACATGGATTTTCAATCAGAAGCATATGGGATCATTTCATTATATAATTGCTGAAAAAGGTAATGAAAAGTGTGGTTAGCATTGAATTTTTTAATTTTTTTCCTTCTCAATCTGTAGTTATTTTGTTTATTTCCATGTTTGTGGATTGTGAAATTTAAAATTTAATGTCCATGTAATAAAAAAGAGTTAATATCCGTGTAATAAAAGGGAGGTTAGGGATTCGAACTCAGTGGAGGTACAAGTATGTGAAAAAAAAATAAAAAAATAAAAAATAAACAAACCGCGATCCCGCCCTAACCCATGTAGATTTTCTTCACACCCTCATTGCTTTACACACTTTACTCTTGCTCACGATTTTCTCAAAACGCATCTACATAATAAAAAAGTGTTTACTGAGCAACTTTCCATCCCTGGCCGAACAACATTTCAAAATGCGTCTACGTAATTAAAAAAGTGTTAGGACAACGTCATAAGCATGAACGAAGCCACTCACAAGCTAGTGAGAGCAATTGCCCCAACTGATTTATTTATTTATTTATTAGTAATATACCTTATTAATTTCTATTATATATATATACACACACCTACAGAATTACACTTGCCCCCGCACAATTTTTTGACTCGTCCCTGATCATAGTACATTGTCACACCTTTATGAAACCGTCAGATTACATCAAGTAAATATTTATCAAAACTAGAAAAACCACTTTCCAGAAAAAGAAAATTTCAGCCATAATAATTACTCAATTCTCACTATCATTCATAATAATCTCTACTTCTTTTGTACAAGTTCTTGAAGTGCATGTATAACACCTACAAGGACAAGTTACGAAAAATTTATACAAAAAATGCGTTGATCAGCAAGCTTGGCTAGAGATCTAACTGAACTCCATAAAACATTCTTCATAAAACTTTCACCATACACGAAAAGAGAAAGAGGAACATCCAGCCAAATTTCCGTTGCATCATTCAAACACCATCTTCCATGTAAGAACATGTCCACTCACTCTGTCCCAATTAAACCACGGAATCTCAACCACATGCTTGCTGCTTCATCATTTGAACTCCTCAATGTGAAAAACGTACATAAATTGGCATCTAAGCTGGTTCATCATTCAACAACCTATTTTTCCCTTCGTACTTGTACTCATCTTTTGGCAGATTCTTACGCACCTTTAACTTTACTCTCGAAAGCTGTAAGCAAGCAAAGCAAATCAGAAACTGAGCAGCTAGGAAGTCTAAATAGACCATCTAAATGATCTTTTTGATACCGGAGATAGCAGATACTGAATAACCCCACCTCAGAATCAAAATGATTTGTTCTTCCACAGTTTGTCCCGGGGATAATGTTGACCTGCCTAAGAACTAGACTTTGCATGTTACAGAGGGCACATGTTAGCTCATGAGTCATGATGGGTAACACAGCTAGAACTTCCTTGCAGTGGCAAACAAAATCCAAGACCATCAAAATGAGTTGTGGAAAATAAAGTATCAGAAGTTTAACAAGGACAATTAACCTTTGGTTAACAGCTCTAGTGATACATGGTCCCAAACAAAGGCACCAGACAGCATGGCGGTGAGGCGGTCCAATCCAACAATTAGACAATTATCCAGGAGAACATGCTCATAGTTCACTCCGGAGTTGGTACCATCACGAAGGAAGTAAACTCTATAAGTTTGTCGAACCACTTATGCATAAATGTACAAGTCAAGACACCATAGTTTAATTTAAGGTAAGCAATCATAGCAAAAACTAGTCGAAAACAACCTGACTAACCAAACTGTTTTTTCTCTTTCATCCATTAATCAATTATTTGCTGAAAAGAAGACAAATTAACCATCATTTCAACTACAACCCCTGTAGGATTCAAAGTATAATGCCAAACAATCCCTCCCTTTTTTTTGTTTCTTAATCATTGACATATACATATATAGTGGTCTGGAAAGAATAACAAGAACGGAAAAAAAAAATATATATATATATATATATATATATACACACACACACACACACACTATTCTGCCAAGAATGTGAGCTTTGCATTCGCAGCAATTTATTTAGCTAATAAAAAAATATAAAAGCCTTCCCTTCTTTCGGATAAAGGGTAGCTAGACGTCGCGATATTGAATTGCTAGCAAATTAATTGACAATCGGAATCAATTCAAAACTTTGACACTTACTACACCTGAAGCAAAAAGGTTCTTCACTTCCTACATCACTATATCCTCCATGGATTTACAGTAGTGCCCTTTAACCCAAAAAAATAAGTTACTCAATATGGAATATTTAAGTGCCCAAATAGGAGCAATGTCCCCTTCAAAACAAACACTGTGTCAGGCAAGAATTATAAGTGCCTAAAGGAGCAATGTCCCCTTCAAAACAAAAACTTTGTCGGGCAAGAATTATCATCTTGTTAATTGTCCATCTGATTGACTGCTTGAGCAGCCAAAAAGCATGTATAAAGTGAAGACATCCAACTGTTTTGTATCAACAAAATCATTAATGACCAAATTAATTGATAATCTGAATAAATTCAGAACTTTGATTGACAATCTGAATCAATTCAGAACTTTGACACTTAAAGACAGCCGAGGCAAAAAGGTTATTCACTTTCTACAGTTACCAGTTCAAGATGCAGATTCAATTTCTCAACTTTTATATAATTTCCGTGCCTCATTTCTGCTGATTACAGCAATTGCTTTATACATGGTAAATTTTAGCCCTTTTGGCATAACTAGAGTGATTGGTTTGAAAAAAGAAAATGTTACTGTTCAAAAAAAAAATTTGTTTATTTATTTATTTTAAGTAAAGTATATTATAAAAGCGCTCAAACAGGGAGCAACCCATGTACAACTTTAAGAAGACAAACTTTTAAGCTATCAAACTATCCAAACTCAACTATATCCTCCACGGATTTACAATAGTGCCTTTTAACCCAAACAAATAAATTACTCGATATGGAATATTTAAGTGTCCGAATAGGAGCTTCCTCCCCTTCAGAACAAAAACTGTGCCAGGCAAGAATTATCATCTTACTAATTGTCTATCTGATAAGCATTATTGACTGCTTTAGCAGCCAAAAAGCATATGTAAAGTGAATAGACATCCATCTGTTTTGTATCAACAAAATCCTAAATGACTAAATATTCAAGACCAAGAGTTATTTTTATCTTTGTCTTTCTATTGAGTAGGGAGCTACTTCTCTTTCTACTCATTCGTTCTCATTTTGCCAAAAAAGAGAAGGAAAAAACAAAAAGAAAAAGGAAAAAAAGTGAGTAACCTGATAGAGCAGGAATTGAACCCAGATCAATGCAGTGTCAATACTCTCCTTGACAAAGAAGTAAATGCAGTAAAGCCAGTGCTAAATGGCAGGAGTTGATTCTAATACATATTTCCAAGGAACGCCGTCTTGTGGCACATATTTGCATGTGAAAAGAGATAAATTTTAAAGGAAATAGCAAAAGAACCCACACGAAGTTCGAAATTCATGGAATAAATCTGCATTATGATTTAGGGAAAAAAAAATTCTGCATTATGCAACACAAGAATTAATATTAATTCCGAAAACAACAGAATAGATTAAAAAAAGAAGAGAAACAAAAAAATATTGTTCTGGTGTGTGCAAACTGCTCCTAGTCCTGAAACTAAAGGATTTGGTAACAGCAGAATAATTCTGGAAAAGCACCTGGAAGCCAAATATGTTCAGAAAGGGAATCCTTTGATAAAGTTCCTCTTTGAAGTTTCAGCAAGCCGCTTGACATCTCTTACATTTTTGTAGTACGTCATCAATTCTTTTGCAACTTTCTTCATGTGCCATTTAATAAATGCTTTAATAAACCGCTCCTCTTTCATTCTCAATGCCCTCAACATTGCAGGTCCTTTAATTTGTGGAACAAGACCCAAATCCTTTACTATCCCTGCGAGAAGAAATCTGGGCTTCAACACAGCCTCCAAATTACACGTCAGCAGAATTGGATAACCAAGGACTGTACTAGCAGATAGCTTTATTGTGCCCAACGCACAAGTCATGTTCCTCTGAACCTTGTCAATGGAAAATGTCAACACCAGAGAAGAGCGTCCGAAAAGACCCAAAACCTCATCTTCCGAAAACCCAAACTTCTCAAAGTTTGCCACCTTCTCACGAATTGTCTCAAGTCATGAGATTGCAGTGAGGGTGACCACATATTTGTACATTTTGGCATCCTTAGAGAGCCCAGTCTTCTGTATGTAATTTATCTTTTCATGAGTGAATGAGGATTGAGGAATTAATGTGGGACGAGACAGAAGCATGGGAATCAAGTCATTTTTGCTAACACCCATTCTCTCATATGTGGCAATGATGGGTTTGATCATATTATGGAAGTCGTAGGCGAGGAGGGAAGGCGTGTAATGACTTTGAGAAGCATTTGCCTCGATCCAAACAACGCTTGGAGATATTCCAGGCGCTCATCGAAGCATTGATTGATGAAGCAAGTAAGGAAGCAGGGGCAACAGTTGATTCTTTTGACAAGGTCAGAAGCTGTGAGGCCCAAGTTGCTAAGTATGCTGAGCTTGGATTGTAGCTTTGTGAGATCAGCGTTACAAAAAGAAGGCCGCTGAAGAAAAATCTTTGATATATCAGTTTCACTACAACCCAATCTCCTAAAAACATCAATGGAGTCCTTAGGGTGGTCTCCTATATCTTCCAAAGCATTGCAGTTGTGGTTGTTTTCTAGGGTTCCAGTGAATGGGGGAACCATTGCGGTTG